TAGCCCCAATATGCTATGTTCCAAATACACTACACTCCAAAACCACAAAGGCTTTCTAAGAGAACAAAGAGATTTGAAGAATAATGGAGAAGCCAAACACTGTGAGAAGAGCTAAAGAATGGAGAAGCTTTTTTCATAATTATCTTTGTTGTTCTCTATGATATTTTCTCTTTGAGTACAAGTACTTTGCCCTTTTAAGCTTATAGCACATGGCTTCTTTAGTTGAGTGTTACGTATGAACCACGAGGCTGTATTCATGTTTTAAATGAGTATAGGTTATGATTTTTGCTTTGGAGAGTTAGCAGATGTGATACAGTCATGACAGAATGAGGTTACTGCAGAAATGACTCATTGTTGAATAATCAAGTGTTTACTCTATCAAAACTGCATGTAACCAGACTGCCACAGTTTTTCTGCTTTATTGTAAGATGTAGCTTTTAAATGTCAGTGCATCAGGAGGAAAGGTAAACTCCTTGGGTTGCTCAGATCTCTTTTTATGCATATGTTTAAAGGCAGACAGTCTTTGGTTCTCAATGGAGAAAAAAAGCTACTGAGCACATCAATGGAGGTGTACATTAATGGAATAAGGAAAGGAAATTAGCTGCAGAGGAAAACAAAATCCTTTCTTGAAGTGGAAGTATTCTGAAGGAGACCAGATGAAGAAAGAACACTTGATGTGAGGTTCTGGTTTGTTTCATACATCCCAATCTAGTATTCCTCCTGAAAATACTGTCACCATCTGAGAAATCTTCAGCCAATCATTTATTTGTCTTTTTGGTTTTGCTTTTAAAGAAGGTAAATTGAGCGTGCTTATGCTTTCTCTTGCTTGCTCGTCTAGCAAGAGGGACCGAAATCAGGTGAGAAGAGTAACTGACTGGAAGAGCATCTTACTCTTCTGACTACACAGAAGGCCCAAAGGTTATGATCTGTTATGAGTTTGAAGTTCAGGTCAGGACACGAATCCAGACCAAAGAGACTTTGTTCTCTTTGAGGCCTTTCTTCAGTGCTCACTGTGTACATTGGGAGCGAGCCCAGTGCCTTATATGGCTACTGGTTTAGTCCTCTTCCCTGTTTAAAGGGCAGGAGAAGCAGTGTTGAGATTTAAATCCTGGATCACACCCAAGTGCTCTCTAGTTTCTTTGCAAAGGTCTAGCACCAGCATATGTGATCAAGGTGCTGTCATAAAAAAATAATAGATTATATGTACTCCTATTGAGTGGACAACCTCCCATGGAATAGAGAAAAACTCACTCCGTAAAAGCATGAAAAAGAGTTGAGTAGCATCTGAGCTGCTAGAAGTTCCTGAAGTTTGAGTCTCCCATGGTAGATGCACTTCTGAGACTCAAACATCACTATTTATACAGGTATGCTCTAACACAGATGTCAAGTCATGAACTTGCTCTTAAGAGCTAAAATCCATTGTATTCAGACAAGAAGCAGCTCACCTGTTCATAAAGTTAAAGTTATGTGAAGCTGTGTCAGAGGAGCAGTGACAGAAATGAGACACAGAAACAGGAGAATTTCAAAAGGTCTTGCTACCCAAACACATAGCAGATTGTGGCTGTTGTAATTAATTCCTTGCACAGTTAATAGTGTCCTGTTCTTCCATCATTGTGAGTGTTTAAGTCACTTATTGCAGATCACTATTCAAAAAGAAAAAAGCCAAGTATTTTACTTGCCTGAACAGTTCCTGTGGCTAACGTCATGCAGGTTCCAATAGAATTAAAGTGCCAGCTTGAAAAATCAAACTGACTACATTTCTAAATCACTTCTTGTCTTACAGACCCTAGGTTACATTCATGATCTTTATCAGATTCTCTCCTCCTCCTTCTAATAATATTGGATTATGTTTGACTATTAGATTGGATTGACTGTGCTGTTACATAATGTTGTCAAGTGAAAAGCAGGCCAAGTGTCCCTGTTCCGGCTTCCATGCTACTTGCTCCTGCAAGTTCTGTGTACCAATTATTTAGGTGTAAATCCACATTTATATAATTGCAAGGTGAGCTAAATTAGAAGGAAGAAGGTGTAATGCCCAGGCAGGACCTTACTACCTTGTGGATAGTGGATGCAAATAACATTTCTTTAACCTCAAACTGATATGCATTCATTGGCAAGCCACTGAGCAGCTGCAGTACAGACACAGACCAGCTCCTCACCATCCCATTTCAACTATGCTGTTTCTGAATGGCATATCATACTAACATCCTAGCTGTACAACTGTAGCTCAGAAATCAGAGGAAGAGTAAGCACATCTTCTAAGGACAGAAAATGCAAGTCTCATATGGTGTCTAACTCTGGCTAAAGCTATCAAAATCCTTGCTTCCAGACAGAGAAGTCTTCAGTCCCCAAGACGTCAGTCAGAAAGCAATCAGCCTTGCAGTCCCCTCAGCATTTGAGGGGAGTGGGTAAAAGGGAACCCCTTTGTGCCTTTTTACCAGCCCAAGCCTAGGCACTAGTTAGTGACAAAGAGCAGTAGTTGAAATTCTACTCAGTAATTGAAATTCTAATCAGTGCTGACTAAACAGGAATGATTTAACCTTTTCACGGGAAATTTACTATTAAAAGTAGGCAGTTGTAGCTGCGTGAACATTTTAAATGTAGAGGCAGTGAGTAGAAAGCAATCAATCCTGGCTTCAACACAAATAAGATCTCCAACTGTATTTATACAGATAGTCCTCTCTACTGGTCTACATATAGGTGATGGTGTTGCACAATCTATGACCTTGAACAGTCCTATATTACCTTATTCTCCTTGCAGAAGAATTAAGCCTTTGCAGGAGCAGTTTGACTTTGGGTCTGTACATCAGGGAAGGATGTACTTGTTCATGCTTCCTGGGCTGAATTAGAAACGTTAGGTGGCTTATCTTACAGATTGCAACCAACTAGCATAGCACAACTAGCAAATATTAAGCATTCACAAGAACACTATTTGCAAACAACTTAAGAGTTAAACACATTAATTTAGCATATTTCACTAGCACACAGGAGGAAACTGTCTCTTCACAAACATTTTACAACCAACTAGAGGCTAGATTTCTTGACTAAACTCTTCCTTGAAAATTCTCACTAACATTTAGCAGTCATCCCCATTAGTTACTGTTTTGAGGGAGAATGAGTACACAATTCACAACCAGCAGTTTCTCTTCTCCACTCTTCCCTAAAGCTCCCACTTTGATTATTAACTTGCTTGTGATATGTTAGCTTTGCATCCTTATAGCAGTTTCATTACGGATTCATTTAGAAACTTTGCATCTTTGTAGCTAGAGGATTCAAACTTTTTGATGTGTATTTGCTGCTGTATTAGCGAAGCAGTCACTTCAGACTCTGACAGGGAAAGGAACTGTTATGTTAAGTATCTGTGCCAGCATATAACCTTATTGATTGTAGCACTTCCAGTGAAAGCTATCTTCATCTCATGAGTTCTTCTGGCATTCCCACAGGGAAGCCCTGTGAGGATCAAGCCATGCTCAACATGGATGGCAGGGTCTCACTCTTAGGAGGTAATTCTTTCCTATCAGCTAGTGAAATATCTTAGTTTAAAAAGGGTCCTGAAGTTACAGGACAGCTTATTCCTTTTCCAGCGAAGGCTCAATTATACATAACATTCATTTGTGGCACCTCATGAAGTCAGGCTCTTAATGACAGCAGAGTTTTAGAATTGTTTATGTACTCACTCAGCTGAAGGACTAAAGTGAACAGGGCATATCAGGAAATCCAGTAGCACATTAGTAACTTTGAAAGTTAAGTTTCATAGACGGTGGCCACCTACTACTTAATTATATGAAACAGTACAGTAAAACTATGTGAATATGAAGTAATAAATATATTGGTAAAAAATGAAACTAGAACCTTTCAACCGATTATTGCTTATTCTCTCTGCAAAATTCTACTCAAGCACAATTTGTATATACATCCACTATAACAAACTGGTCTGGGTCTCTGGCTTTTTTTAATCTAAGACCATGTCAAGAGAGATGCTCCACAGTGGGAATATTTACATTACTATTATCACTATTTCTATGCCCTAATTAAATTTCGGATAAAAAACCAAAATCACTCAATTTTTTTTTTTTCAGTTCTACAAATTCTTTTTAGAAATTCTGAAGGAATTATCCTAAAAAGACCCTTCCAGAATTTCCTGGGTCAAAATCTGATAATTCATTTTTAGTTTGATTAACTATGATAAAACTATTCAGTGTTTAAAAAAGAAAAAACCAAGAATTCAACACATGGGAGAAACCCTACAACAACAGCATACAAGAACATTCTCTCAAACCACAATACATAAGTTCTCTTAATTACATCAAATATTAGTTTAAACGAATTGAGTATGAAAAATATCTCAGCTCAGTACTTTACAAAGACAACACTATAGTTTAGGAACTACACACACACACACTTACAAATTAAATTTTCCAAAAGCCTATTAACATCACCACTTTGGAACAATGTTTCTCTGCCTTCCTCTTCTCCAGGAAAGCTTTGCTAGGCACCCTTCCCTTTCTTGACTTCTCTCCACTGTTCCTTCTATTTACCCATACCTTCTTCCTCATTTTTTAGAGGTCCTCACAGCACGGACCATTTCTGCAAAATGGTGCAGAAGTAGCTTCCTACAATTGGGCTGGGAAGCCACAGACATCACCAAAGTTGTTCAAGTGCTTTAAGTTAGGGCCATAAGTATTAGGGATTAGCATTCAAGAGAGTCCCATGAAGTCTGACAAACAGTGCCTTGAGTTTTTAGCACAAGTTTGTATCTATTGTATTTATGATGACTGTATTACCATTTTTGCCTTTCACTTGGCTTTTTCAAGATTGTTCTAGCTAATGCTTTTTTTGTTGCCATACAGTTTTCTTTCTGGCTTTCATATTGAGGCCATCCTTGTTGTACAAAACACCCTACAAGGAAAAATTTAAATCCATAAAAGATTATAATCCAGTCCTATTTATTTTTTTAGACTTGGACAGCACAACTAATCTCAAAAAAAAAAAAAAAAAACTGTTTGGTTGGCTAAGTTGAAATAAGATGTCTTACATGAATACTTGTAGGTAGTACTCTCTTCAATGGGAGTAGCAGATGCTCGCTACCTCAAAAAGTTACATCTGATAGTGGATTTTGCCATCCAACTTTAGGTGCTCAGACTGAGAATTTTGGCCCTAATATTTGCTGCAACCTTAGGTTTGGGTCCAATCCACCTGACACTGTCTCTTTAAGCAGGAGCTTGCCCACAGCTGCATTCTCTGAGTCTGAGATGTGTAGGATGCTTTTCATATACTACAGTTTCTGAAGGTCAGTGCGTACACATTTTAAGACACAGTGATAAGACAGTGTATGGAACTACTTGGCAGTATTTAGCTGGTACAATTTCTTGTGGAAACAACAGACTTCCAAAACACACCACACCGAATGCTTATGGGTTATTACAAGCAAAAATCCCAAGACACCAGTAATTAAAAAGCGGAGTTCAACAAAGGAACACTGATATTGTTGGTTGATATGAACAAGGTTGTGCCAAGTCTTCCTTCTTCGCTTTTTCAAGTGGAGAAATAAACTGGGAAAGGAAGCAGAAGGGAAATTTTAAAAGACATAAACTAATAGTTATTACAGAGTTACTGTTGTGCTTTATGTCAGAGAAGCATGTGCTGTGAGAGGATGGCAAACACCTTTAGCACACCTTTGCTGAAAGAGCATGACATCTCTTGCACACAGTATGCCTTCGTAGCTAGAATGGGGATGCTCCTCCTGTGTCAAAAGGAGTTTGGAGGGGGAGGGAACTGGAGTAGAAAGCAGGGGAGACTGCAGCTCGAAAGACAGAAAGGGCAAGGACTGATGGTGAAGTTAGCTGCCATCCCCAGCTCTGGCAACACTTGCAGTCTCACGCTGTAATTCTTCGTTAAGCAGGGAGCCAGACTGCTTTTCCAGGGCACTGTTGCCAGGATGGTAGGAAGCTTGGCTTGGGCCATTTCACCAGCCATGGTAACTTGTTGCTGTGAAGAATTACCCACCTTATCTGCATCTATAGCCAGCCCTACATGGAGGTTATGATCTTGTTCCTATTAAAATCAGTGACTGGAGAAGCCGTGCAGGCCTTGTCTGTGACAGCATTTGGATGCTTGATGTTAACAGGATTTAAACATACACCTGAGAGCTACTGGAAATAAATACATCATTGGGTTCAATACACCGGGTCCTTCCTGAAGCTGTAACCTTTAGGCACTATTACAGAAGGATCAAATAGACTGAAAAAATAATTTAAGATCCAGGGCTTAAGTACATTTAAATCTCACTAAATTTGCACTAGATCTCACTCTGGTGAGCCATGACCTGGGTTTGACGATGTGACACTCAAATTTGTGATTAAATAAACTAAGCCCAACCTAAGCCATGTCAAACCTGCTATTTCTAAACTTACCAGCGTGGGCATCCAATGTTTAAAACCAGAAGGGAAACAAAGTTCTTACTTATATATAATTTCAACCTTAACTTCTAAGGAGAAATTATGAGCTATCTTGTCTGCTATTTACTTTCTTGTTAAGATACACATAATGCTCAATGATGCATATATACACAGCAATGAATTCAATGGCTGCACATCTGTCTTCCCAGGTTGCTGCACTAGACCACAGAACAAAGGCCTGTCTTTCCCTTGAAGCCTTGAGTACCCAGTTAATATAGTTAATTAATATCTAGCCATTTCCCATTCTTGCTGTATCAGTGTTACGAAACCGTAGAATTATTCTGGGTCACTCTGGTGCCAGCATTCATAAGACTAATAAACTGCCACATGTATCTCAATCCATTTAGTCATGTTTACAGGTGATTCTGTAAGCCTTCTTTACAGAAGCAACAGAGGAAAATGGAAACATGCTGAATACAAGGCATGTAATTTGAGAGCTGGGAATTAATTCACATCCACAGTCTAGCCTCCTGGTGAATCTCTTCTGGGTTACTAGCTGGATTGTCTAACTCAAGAACTCTCCCTTTTAGGGGTTAATACCATATTACAGTTATGTCACATAACGGCTGTTGCTAACACGGAGGTTACATAAATAAAATGATCAGTTCCTGTCATTACAAGATCCCTGGCTCCCAACCGGCATGACTTCTATTATTCATTCATATGCTATCTTTCCTATAACAAATCTGTGGAATGAGATGATTTTTCAAGACAAGAAATCAATAAGACTTTGAGCCATCTTTTAACGTTAGGTATTCAAGATGCAAAGGGATTTTCAGAAGCACCAACATCTCAACTTCCAGCTGATTTGGTGGGAATTAGGCACCTACACGCTTTTGAAAAGAAACATCAAATGCCCATTTGCCTGTGGGCCTTCACCCTCTTTTGATAGGCATGAGGTAATTCAAGCATTACTGTTCTTACTAGAAAACACTAGGACTGTGGCACTGGTTGTAATGAAAGGAAGGTATCTGAGATTGCATAAAAATTTATATAAACATGAAAAGGGAGTGTCTTTAATCCCAGGGAAAGTTATGTAACATGCTAACGTAAAAATTGACATTAAATGTCAACAAGTCCTACCTATATAAGTGTCCAGAGAATTTGCAGTAATTCTCACTATAACAGCATGACACTAGAAGGGGAATTCCACAAATTAATCATTTATCCATTTTTTATTTTATTTTGGTTTTTTTTTAATATATCAACACTTTGTAAGTCACAGAGCTATTGACATCATAAACAGAAGAAAAAAATTAATTACTCACTTATAATTATAATGAGAATGACTGCGCATACTACACCAAGGATGATCATCATCTACAAAAAGAAAGTTATGAGAGAAAAAAAAAAAAGAGAGAGAAAGTCAGGCTTTCACATGAAATACATTAACCCCTCCATTTTTTTGCTCTTACTTAGTAGCTCATTCCTTGCACTTTTAATTCTTGTAAAGACTCACTGCAACAGACTTGTTAAGGCCCCAGATTTAGTCTCAATTTTAGGAACACCAGCAATGGACACAGCCTCTTGTCAAAGCTAGCAGTTTCTTGCCCATCAGCTAAGATGCAGTGACCAACCTTGTCCGTTTCTAGCAGTAAAGAAAAAGTAGACTTCTGAAGTAAAACAACTCCAGTGGTGATTTAAGTGGCTGGATTCCTAAATGGCCATGTACTACTTTATACTGGAGTAACTTGATCGCTTTTCACTACATTCCCACAGTCAGGGAAGAGACAGCTAGAGATGTCTAATGCTTAGCAGCTATTCATGCTGGTTTTGTATATTTGTGCTGTTGAGAGTAGTCCCTGGTAGCTGGCATGGTTTCCAGCATGTTAGCCTGGAAATAGCTCATTGCAAAGTTGAAGTCTGTTACCACGAGAACAGATATATCAAAGCCAGCTGTGCACAGATCATACCAGCACTGAATTGTGTGGAGTAGAGGCCCCCACATGAGACTTGCTGAATGCTAATAAGGCCACCAGGGATGCTGAAGTCCAATTCCCGTCATTACCTCAGTGAGAATGAGAATGTCAAATCAAGGTTTTCATTCCTCCCAACATAGGTTTGGAGGACAGAGCCAGCCATTGGCTTGAAGGAATTTATTTTTTCACCCTCCTTCCGGAGTTTGGGAGCCAGAGGAAGGACAGGGGGATTCTGTTTGTCAGGGTAAAGCAGTAAGGGTCAATGAGGAAAGGAGAATGAATGTAGGTTTGAAGGTCTACTGTAGTGTAGGTCACCCTAGTGACTGCAGTCAACATGGGTGAGCCTAACCCAAAATCTGTGTATGTAGCTCCCAAAAGCCCTGCTTCCTGCACTGTCAGGCAAAGCAACTGGGCAAGAGCTAGAAAAGACCCAGAAGAACTGCTCAGTTGAGTTTATAACCTAGATCCACTTATTTCTGGAGTGTTTGTGCATGTAGACAACCCAGAATATTTTGTCTTGCTTTACATTTCATAGCACTGTGGATCGAAGAGACAAAGCAGGCAACAGACTGGTGAGAGATACATGTGGGATTCTCCTTTGGGAACAGGTGGTTTTATTTGGATGAACATGAGTGGTCAGAAGCAAAGATGGTATTGAAGCGAAATGGAAATGAAGCTCAACTTTTGGCATAGTGTTCATGTGTTGGTGGTGCATGAGCAGAAAGAAGTAAGGATATGGGGTCTTATATGAATAAGAGGAGCTGAAGTTTCTGAGTCCAGAAAAGACAAATCCTGGAGGAGGTCTGAAAAAAGGAGAGTGGGGTTCCCACTGCTTGTGGGAAAGGATGAGACTTTGAAGACAGCAGATGAGAGAGCTGGTTGATAAAAATCCTTCCCTATCCTAATCTACCTCTCCTAAAAAGAGACTGTGATTTCCTCACTTCTCACAGCAGTTTGTGGAACCAAGTATTTTTTTGGTAGTTTACCATCCTAAAGAAAGATTGAGAGCCTGATGGCCTCCCAACAAGGAAAAAGCTTTTTTTTCTCCCACTACTAGTATTCACTACACCTTTTTGGGCTTTGTGGTTCACACAGGGAACTGACAGGAATTAACATGGAATGTTCTCCCATCCCTCTCTGCAGGCACTGACTGAAGCATCAACATCTGTATCTACATTTTATATACTGCATAAATTATCTAAAGAATAGGTTCTGGTAAAAATCAAAGTTGCTTGACTTATTACCCTGAAGCCTAGAAAGCAAGGCATCTCTTTCTCCCTTTGATAAGAAGGGACCACTTAAAGATCACATGCTGCAAGCAAAGTCCCATTAAGTGAAAGTAATGTCTGCCATTAATTGATTCCTAACAAGAATTTATATTCCTTACCTTGCAATTTTTCCACCAGTATTTTCTTTTCAGTTTGGCTGCGCTGGTTTCAAACTGTGAGGCACCTGCTTGCAATGCATCTGCCCGATTGTCAAGCTCTGATAGCTTCTGGTCTCTTTCTAGCACCTTGTCCACATTCATTCTCATGATGTCCACCACCTGCAAAGGCACAGCCCCACATTAGATTCCATGTCCAGTAAAGCCGAAGGCCACTCGTGTGTTCACAGTCTGGAATATCACATATACTGAAACCAGGCATTTGCCCTTATGGTATGTGATGGCAGTTACCTGGACAGTGCCTCAAAAATCATGCCTATAGAAACAGACACAGTGAGAACAAGACAAACATAGCTCTACTATGCTTACATGCCCTTAAAGGTGAAAAATAAAGGGACATTATGAAACACCATAATTAGTTTCATTGAAGTTTTTAATGTCTTCCATCCAACAACTAGCTACTTCACTATAGATACAAAAAACTGATGGAGACTGGTACCTCTACTACAGTTTCGTTGAATTTGGCCAGCTGTCACTAAGACCAAGCCATTATTTTCCTTAGACATTTAATATTATTTCCTTTACCTGAACTAGAGAAATTGGCTACATAAAGGTCTCTCTAAAGGGAACTGTGTGTATTTCCTGACCATGTAATTTACTCATTCTGCAGATCTTTTCTCAGACAAGATGACTTTCCAGCCGTAATTTGAAATCCTGCTTGAAAGTAGAGGAGGAGAAAATTTTACCTGGAAAAATTCAGCCTAAAGTGTAGCAGGGAGCTCGTGCCACCTCACTGCATAGCCTCAGCCAAAAAAGTGTGCACAGACAGTACACAGTAGGTAAGGCACATTCATGCATGTATTTTATACATTGAGTTAGATGAAAATCTTCTTCTAGCAAGTAAATAACTCTAAATAGAAATCCGGTAGAAATTAATCACTAATATAAATGTTAGTACACCACTCTCAGTAAAGTTGTGTCCACTTATTCTAGCAGTGAATATGGTTGCTGGTCTATTGCTCCTCATACTCTGTAATAAGGAAATCCATGTTGTTTGTATTTAATATAATTTAACTATTACCTACAAAAACCCAGAGTTATTAGAAAAATACATTATTTAAATACAGTGAGATGAAACTGGTATGGAAAGAGCCTTTAAAAGAACTGACATAGGGTTAAATGATGTTCCAAATCTCAAAACGTTTTTCACTTATCCACAAAACCAAAAACAAAATCAAATGTTTTGGTCAACCTGAATTTTCTTAACTTGCTTTTCCAAACCAAAACCTTACAAACATTTCACTTCACATCAAATAAAAAGCCATTTTGTTTTCATTTCTTAGCTAGCATTTAGCTAAATTTTGTCTTGGCACAATGTTTTGTAGTGAATATTTTAAACTATTTGAAAATGCTGAAACAAAATACTGTAACATTTCCTACCCATTCTCTCCTCCCCCACCCCCCCCAACTATTTATTTAATCTAACCTGACTGCAGTAAACACTTGTTCAGATGAGATTACATTTTTGTCAAATACATAAAAGCTTGTCTAGACTAAAACTAAAACCAAAATCTGCGCCTTAGAAAATAAGCTTAGCTAGGATGCCTAGAGAAATCAGAGGGGAAAACCCAACATGGGTATAGCTGAAATACTGTACCAGCATTGACATAACATTAAAAATGTCAGTCATTTTACTAAGACCAAAAATTTTCTCTAGAGCAAAGTTGTGATTGTGTTGCTAAGTTTTGGGTTTGGGCCTGAAGCGCTGTGCAGAACAGCACTTGGAACAGAATTGCCAGAGGAGTGTAGTGGTGTGGTGTTTGGTGCCACCTACAGATTAGTTTCCCACAAGACTTGAAAGAAAAACAAGCAGGAAACATCTAGTAGGAAGGTCAAAGCAACGCTTAACAGTTCAGATCCTTAGGTGCTAGAAACCAGTTTCACATTAGTGACTTCACATTACTGAAACCCTAGTGTCATTTTTCTCCCTTGGCTATTACACCGTCATTTCTCTATTAGAAAAGGACCTGCTGACCATGTGCTATCTACTTAAAACCCACACCAACCTCAGCCTCCCTCTCAAACTGGAGGCAAAAAACCAGGTGATAAACATATCACCCACATAGTCCTCAAACCTATGAGCTATTCACTCTCCCCTCATGCTGGGTAAGAGTTCTTGCCAAAATTACTCCATCAGGCTCCACAAGAAGACGAACTTGCATGGGCTTGAGAGGAAAGTCTCAGAACACAGAGTATCTTAAACACAAAGCTGGGTTTCACTAGCCTCACTGGAGCCATCTCCATTGATTTGCTTGAAGAGCCCTATATATCTGACCTACATGACTCATTTTGGAGAGTAACTAGCAATTATTTTTTGTCTTCTAGGGACAATTACTTTTGCTGTAGCTCACATAAACAATTATAGCACCATCATGATGTAGTATGATCAGGACAAGAAGTTTATTTAATTATTCTGACCTAAGATGAAAGCTGAAATGTAATATTCCTTTTCGCACTGAGGGAAGCTCCACTAATGTCAGTGATGTTAGTGTGATGTGAAAATCAGTGATAATGAGAGAGCCAGACCTAGAAATTTCTGCAGACGTTTCTGTAGCCAGAGAATGTTCTTGTGATAAGCTCCAAGCATCAGCAACAGGGAGGACAAAGACCATGTTTCAGATCTTTAGTAAAGAAGTTCTCAAAAATACAAAGCACAATTTGCCATGTGTATTTAATTCATCTTAAGGAATGCATTTGAGTTGGGTGCTGCGAATACTATTTTTAAAGCAATTCTGGAACTTTTGAAAATAGAGGCCTTTATATATGTAAATAGCTATTTTCTAATGTGTATGTTTTTGAATTGGTATTAAAGAATCACACAAGACCCAGCCACTTCCCCATGGACAGCAACAATCAGTTACTTAAGTCTTTGTAGGGGTTTAGTATTAACTGTATTTAATACCTAGCATGCAAATCTGCACAGCAGGTGTGCAAGGATACTACAGCTGCTACTGTACTGCTGGTACGCGCAGGGACTACACCCATGAGCAGTGGTATGCTCACTTATTCCCGTTATCATAGCAGTTAGATGGACACTGGCATTATGGCCAAGGTGGTGAGGTAGTCTGCATGCTACAGAAATTTAAGGATCTATGCTGGAACAGGCACATGGCCCTCCAAGACCAAGAAAAGGAGAGGGGATTTGTTGACGATGCTGTTATGACATCATATTGTGGGTGCCTTTGTTTGGGGATAAATTGTAATGATTAATCAATAGACCTCTGCCTAATGAGCACAGCCCTCAGCTGTACAATTCTTATGGCTTGAATCTATCTATGAGAAGCTGATGGTCTGTCCCTGTCAAACAGCCTGTGAGTTTAGCATCTAACCTTTAGGAATGCAGGAACACTGTGATAGTTTCACTGGGCCAGCCCTTGGCCAGCAGCCAACACAGCCGTTCACCCACTTCCCCCCCACCTCCAGGGGATAGGGGAGAGGACTGGGGGGTAAAGACAAGGAGACTCACTCCTAGGTTGAGATAAGGACTATTTAATAATAGAAATAAAAGAAAACTTAAGATAATACTAATATTAAAATAGTAGTGATAATGATAGCAGTGACAAAATATGCAAATGAGTGACACCCAGTACAATTGCTCACCACCCACTGACCAAGCCCGGCCTGTGTTCCCAGATAATGATCCTGGAGGAGTGACAATCCCAAAACCGCAATCCCGGGAGAGCGAGAGCCCGAGCAAAAGCCAGAGAGAGCTAAAAGAGGAAGAGACCCTCACTAATATAGTGGACATGACGTGATATGATATGGAATATCCCATTGGCATATCTAAATGCCAATTTAGCTTATTAATTTAAATATTCTTCACCTCCCTTAGATCTTGTGCTTGTGGACTAACAGAACACAAAGTCCTTCACTTCCAGTGACAAAAATGCAAACACTGGTATGTTCTCAGTGTCTCTCTCATAACAAATCCCAGGCTGAAAGCAAAACGCAGCACAATTCTAGCTACTGAACAAGAAACCCAGCTCTGTTTCAGCTAAAAACCAGGACAAACACATTAAAAGGGCTGGTTCCACTATGACGTTTCCTCCTAACCTGACTGTCTGGGATGAATTCTTGAATTGGCACCAATACCCACATATATTCTGCAGAAGCGTTACTGGTACAGGGATTTTCATACTCAGAATCATTCTTGTACTATCTGCCTCCTCATAAATGGCATTTTTTGGTAAACCTCATTTCCTAGATCCATTGCCTTCAGATAAGCAAGAGTTGCTGGATCACTAGGGAGAAAAGCATCTTAAAGAAAAAAAAAATAAAAATCACATCAGCACCCTTGTGGTGAGCAACAAATCACCTAGAGTCACTTACCTCATCCACTCTGGCTTGTGTCTGCTGCAGCCGTTTGTTACTTGACACATTGGTAGCAGGAGGTGGCCCTGCAGCCCCAGCACTGGTGGGACCTTGGGTAGGAGCTGGAGTAGACCTAGATCAAAACCAGAGAACATAAAAAGTGAAACCATCTTTACTTGTTCACTACCCCTTTTCTGGAACAAGTCAAAAGTACTCATCTCTTCAAAGGAGTTTTGCATTGCCTCCCAGCCCACACTTTCCATTCCTGGATCACAACCCTGGTGTCCCATTTCCTCCTATGCTGTAATTAGTTTTCACACTATTTCTTCATAGGACCATATGAAACTCTTCCCCTCCCTTGCTGCCTTTTTAAACAGCCAGCAATTCAGATTATCTACCCTAACTTAGGCCAATGGCCAAACTGATCACAGGCCTCATTAGCAGGGCAAAACTTATGTCCAACTAAGGAAACAGACTCTGCTCCAGGTATTTTGTGTTGATGCTATAGGAGCCAGGGCTACAACCCTGCCTTCCTCCTCAGTGTGCTGAATGATGCAACTCCCCTGCTCATCAGTGTTTGGCTGGAAGCTAACCAAGTAAATACAAACAAAAGAAGAAGAGAAAGAAATGGAAGAGGAAGTAGGGGTGAGAATTGGACACAGTGAGGGGTTAGTCAGCTCAGGCATTCAGCAACACTCAGCCACCCCACAGATGATCACTGAACATTCCACAAGAGCAGCTGGCCAGGTTTGAACATCTGCCATGGACCCTGGATGAATATATGAAGCAATGCTGTGAACAGAGCCCTGATCTCTTGTGCATCCTCTCTTTTCTTAATCATCAACACTGGCTTTCCCTAGCTTGCTTTGAAAGAAAAGACAAAACAAAAGTTCCTTAAAATCCAACAACAGGTCCAGTCTGTCTCAGTGCATGAGCTTGTGCAGGCAAGTTACACTGCTGGCCTGAACAGGGTCCCTCAACCTCAGCCAGTTGTTCTTCACACCCATACCTTAACCTGGGAAACCTTACCTTTCCTTTCAAGGGACCCCTGCCACTTCTTCCTGCAGAGAAATAAAACCCTTCCTGAAGCCGCAGAAGAAATCCCTAAGCATATGAACTGAAAAATATTACAGATCCCACTCATGCATTACCAATGCCTTCCCATAGTGACAGACTGAGAGAACACAGTGTTTCTCTGTGAATCATTCCCTTTTACATCCTAGGATCTGATTAATGATGCTGGAATTATGGCCCCATTAATACACTGTCAAAGCGCCTAGGGGCACTGAAGTTAGTTCCCCAGAGGTACCTTAAGCTGCAAAATTCAGTTTGACAGAATTGCCTGTGAGCCGAGATCCCTAAATATAACACTGACCCTCGCAGACTCCAAAGAGATGGAGCTGCTGTTTGCAGACCTGGACCACTGCTGTATCTTATACTTCATTTTAACTGTGGGTAAGAATGTCATTATCAAGTTGTAGTTGAAAGAAAAGAACTTGAACCACAGAGAAATTGCTCATCCTTTGAGGACCTCCCAGCCACTATTAAAAACATAAAAGACCAGATGCTGCTGCCACCTGCAATGGAATTACTCCCCTGAAGGGCCATGGGCCAGTATCCCAACAGGATTTATTCTGAGTTTTTGCTGTTGTCACAAAGGATCAAAATCTGACTATAATGTATATCAGGCTCAAATAATGCAAAACAAGGTGTCCCTGGAGCATTAACAACTTCAAAGGGAGTTCCTGGTACAACAACAGCTAAAATTGAAATTGTGAAATCTCTTTGCAGTCAATGAAATAGAGACTTTTTCCCAATAAACACATGCAGAATTTTTTCTATGGAAACATTTTGTTCACTACTACAAACATTAACAGAGCTCCCCCCTCTTGAGCTATATATTGTTAGCATTCCAGAGAATACAGAAGGGAAGTGGGTGAGAAGTATTTTTCCTAGCCACATGTTTTCAGTAGTAAGCATAGCTTATAAATGCAGAGGTGTTATTGGTCAAAGCTGGGTGATAACTCAGAAGTCCAGTGCTCTGTCATATACCTTTTCTACCCAGTAATTTTCATCTTTTTTTTTTTTTTTTGCATGTCCCAAGCTGTCCTTAAAATTATTTGCCAGAAAGTAGACACTTCCCAGTTTGTTCTTTTCCAACATCTTTGCTGCCATCTAATTTGGTTTCAACTCTATTTCCTGGGGCTTCTCTGCTCCCAGTGTAAGGGAGGAATGGATGGGAAGAATAGGTGTTTTTATAGCTGCCCTGACCATCCAGCAGAAGTTACTGTAACTACCAAAGAGAGATGGTAATCTTTATGATAAGGTACAGCAAGCTTGTAATTAACATACCCAATTTAATTAATTACAGAAAATCTAATACAAGAGTAACCAGAGCTGAGTGCTGCCTGCAGTGCAGAGCTACTCTTTCCAAATCTTTTGTCTCTGGAGTTGTGCTCTCCTTACACGGTAACAGCACTGCCTCGCTCACGGCCTCATGGGTCAGGGCAATGAGCTGCCACAAGCAGAAAGTGTGCACCAGAGGAGACACAGCACCTGCTGCAGAGGGCACAGCACAGGTTCCCACAGCGGCTCTAGGAAGTCAGTCCTTAAGCACATGGCTTTAATGCCACCAGCAGCTCTTGCAGGTTAACAAGGCATGAGATATCTCTCGACATCAGGCAGCATGTAATATCCAAAAAAGACAACACAAGCACAAAAATACCTGCATCACCTCTCCTCTTTGCAGCCTCCCAAAGCACTTCAGAACAGGACAGAGGGGTCTCCATGCTTCTGGCTCAGCCATACCAGTGTTTGAGCTCTGCAGAAAGCATTCTGTCCGAGCAGCAGCAGAAGGCAGTACCTCTGTGAGCTAATGTGGCTTCAGTTCCATTAAGAGTTTATCTTTGAACCTCGGTTTCCTAGTACAGAAGGGAACTGAAGGCCTACATCACTGGAAAGCACCAACATTGTCTGGAATATTTTGTGCAAAAATGCTAGAATGAAAGTCCAACCTACATTTACATAATTCTTCTATTATTGCCTCTGTACTATGTCATATCAGCTTATAATTTCTCAGAGCATTTTTCAAATAAATATATGCAAAACATTAGCACTGTGTTAAAGAGGCTTTCTTTTGAGATACATGAAGCATCACAACTTTGAAGTTGAATTTCTCATGGCCTGGCATGATTTTTGGGAGCTACAAAAGAATGCAAAATCCATATAAAAACTGCAGCATTGGGCCCCTAGCCATCAGACTTGTGTACTTTTTTTGTTTGTTTGCTTGTTAAGGAAAAGGAAAAAAGTTACCATTGATGCTGAGAACCTTCACTCCCAAGAACAGGCCAAATTAAGTCTTGAAGGGGGAACAAAGCTCTGTTACTGTTAGTGAAAAAGGGCATAAATCCCTAGCAGATATTCTTAAGTGGCAACCACTCTGATGTCAGAGCACTGCAGTACACTCTGGGAGAGTCATGGATGAGTACACTTACTTCAGGACAACAGTGCCACACGCTTAGAGCCTTGGCAAGTAGGTTGTACTTTATATAACATTAGATATATTCTTGCTCCCCCCATGCCAGATTTTTCTTCAGTTGGCACATGAGCAATATGACTGATTGAAAGCAGGTGCTGGATCTGTGTGTGTATGCAGCTACCTGTGAAGAAACATTTGGGGACTGTCCTAGTAATTCAGTAAAATGGTCTCAGCTGACTCAAGACATCCTCAGTTCTTCTGGTTACTTGCTGGGCCTGAAACTGATAGGTCAAAATCATGACTAAGATTTCTCATCTCAACTGGATGTTTTGGAAGCAATTTACTACTTAGCTCTAATGCTTTAAGGGAGCTGCAACTCTAATTAAGAGAGAATTGGAAATATTCAGTGTTACTGTTTTCCATTTCAGCACTGGCTTAAAGAACATTAAGGATAACTGTGTATCTAATGTTTTGGGAAGCTGCCTGACACACACTTCCATTTTTGTTCATATGTGTGAGCTATGTAGGAGAATTTTTTTTGTGTTAGGCTAGGGAAGGGAGATGCACAACACAAATACCAGGAGGATGCCATGCCACCACTGTGACTTTGGTACAGTTTACATTAGATCTCGACAGCTCCTTTTAGCAACTTGTTTTATCCATCCAAAATGCTTTTAAAGCTTCCAGCTATGAGACCTAATCCCTTTAAAGCCTTTATCCTAACAACACTGCAATAAGCTAAGGAAAAGCTATTATCCCTGCATATGGCTGGGACAGAGGTACAGGGAGATTAAGTGACTTGCTCAGTGGCACAGGAAGCCTATGGCAAAGTAGTCCAGGCCTCTTCATTGCCATCCTTCTGCTCCCCTCTTCTTCAGCTACTGACTGCAAATCATAGAATTGTAGAATGGTTTGGGTTGGAAGGGACCTTAAAAATCATCTAGTTCCAACCCCACTGCCATCAGCAGGCACACCTTCCACTAGACCAGGCTGCTCAAAGCCTCATTCAACCTCAAAGTTCACAACCTATTTCTAATAGCAGGAAATACTTCTACCCTCAGACTTAAATAGAGAGAAACATGCAGTTAAAGGTTACAGAACAAGGAAAGTGAGAATTATTTCAGACAGCTTTAGCTGGTATCAGTTGGCAAAGCTCAGAGGAGGGGGCAGTAAAAATGCATCAATGCAGCAGAAGATTCAACTGATGATCCCTATAAAAAGTAAAATAAAGGAGGCAATTTTCCACAAATCCCAGTTTGATTCCTCCTCAAACCCTTTCCCTGTTGTCCAAATAAAGCATAAAACTGTACTGATTCTTTTCATCTTTATTTTTTTACTGACCAGGCACTATATTTCTGTAGTAAATATGTACAGTTGCAACCAAACTTATGTATATTTAAGACACTGTTCTTCTATTTCAGCCCCTTCAAAAAGCATCTACCCATTTGGGTTTGACTGCTTAGGTAGAGTTTGACAGTCTGTAGTTCCAAAGGCATATAAAAAATAGCACAAAAAACCCCTTTATTTAATTCTAAAATAATTCAGAACACTTCCATAGCTCTGTACTCTTGAGATTTAACTCTAAAACAATTATTAAAATTAGCTACAAATGCAAATTCATAGACTACTTTAGTGAGTATGGATTTCAGTGAAGA